GAATGGGTGTTGGATTTTATCAGATGCCTTTTCTGCATCAATTGATATGATCATGTGGTTCTTCTCCTTTGTTTTATTTATGTGGTGGATGATATTGACCAATATCCCTCATGAAAATAGATGCAAAAATCTTCAACAAAATCTTAGCCAACAGACTCCAACAACATATCAAGAAAATCATTCATTATGACCAAGAGACCTATCATGGAAAATGTTCCATGTGCACTGGAAAAGAACATATATTGTGCTGTTGTTGGGTGAAGTGTTCTGTAGTGTCTATAAGGTCAAGTTGGTGGTTTAATTGTTTAGCTCTTCTGCATCTTTGTTGAGTTTCTTTCCAGTTGTTCTATCTTTGATTGAAAGTGGTGTATTAACGTCTCCCACTATGACTGTGGAATCATCTGTTTGCCTTTTCAACTCTGATTTCTGTATTTTGGGGCTCTTTCATTCGGTCCATAGATATTTACTATGGTTATATCTTCATGTTCAATTGATCCTTTAATCATATAATGTCCTTCCTTATCTTGTATGGTGGTTTTTGTCTTAAAGTCAATTTGATCAGAAATTAATATTGCCACTCCTGCTCTTTTACAGTTGCCATTTGCTTGATATCTCTTTTTCCAACCTGTGATTTTTAGTCTGTTTTTGTCTTTGTCTGTAAGGTGTGTCTCTTGTAGACAGCATATTGATGGGTTTTGTTTTCTTATCTAGTCTGCAACTCTCTGTCTCTTGAGTAGTGCATTTAATCCATTAACACTCAGTGTAATTATTGCCAAGTATGAATTGGATGCTGTCATTTTGCTATGTGTTTTTTCATGGTGTCCCTGGTTTCTTTGTTCCATATTATTTTCTGTGATGAGCTCATTATGTTTATGAATTGTATTATCATTTTCTTTGTTGCTGTTGTTTTAGTATTTGTTGAATATTTGTGCTTGTTCTCTTATTGTGATGTGAAGGTTTATCATTTATCTTTGGGGTTACCCTGTGATTTATAATTTTCTCCCCAAGATTAGAACAGTCCATTCTATCTTGCAACTCTCTTGACTTCTTCACCATTTAGAAGTTATATAACGACACAGTATTTTCCCTCTTTTTGGTTTGTAGTTGTCCTCACTTTCCAATTGATGTCTCTGGTTCCCTGTTTAGAATCTTGTAAGCTTGTTTTACTTTGGATATGTCCATAGCTGTGGTTTCTGGGTTATGTCATCTTGTGTATTAATGGTCAGTTGTTGTTTGCTATTTTTGGTTCTCTGTTCAGAGGATTCCCTTTAGTATCTCTTGTAAGATTGGTCTGATTTTAACAAATTCTCTTAGTTTCTGCTTATTTGGAAATCTCTAGTTTCACCATCATATTTGAGGGACAGTTTTGCTGGGTATGTAATTCTTGGTTGAAAATTTTTCTCTTTCAGGGTTTTATATATACCATTCCATTGCCTTCTCGCTTGCATGGTTTCTGCTGAGAAATCAGAGCTTATTCTTACTGGTTGTCCTTTGTAGGTAACTTTTTGTTTTTCCTGTGCTGCTTACAGGATTCTTTCTTTGTCTTTGGTTTTAGTGAGTTTGATGATATGTCTTGGTGATTTTCTTTTGGGTTCTATCCTGTTTGGGGTTCGTTGGACTTCCTGAATGGATATATTCTCATCTTTCATCATATCAGAGAAGTTCTCTTTCAGCAAATCTTGGACAGTTTTCTCAGTCGTTTTATTTTTCTCTTCCTGTTCTGGAATTCCAGTGACACGTAGCTTATTCCTTTTGATGGTATCCCACAGAAACCTTAGGCTTTCTTCATTTTGTTTTGATCTTTTATCTGATTGATACCTTTCCAAAGAAGTATTCAGCTATTTGTCTTCAATCTTATTAATTCTGTCTTCCATTGATTCAGTTCTACTCCTTTGGCCTTTCAATGTGTTGTCTATTTCTGACAATTTAGTATTAATCCTCTGGATTTCTCTCTGTAGATTTGGAATCATTTCTAACTTTTCATTTATTTTCTCATTTTGTTCTTGTATTTTCTTCCAAAATTCTCATTTTCTTTCTTTTTTTTTTTTTTTTTCTGTTTTCCTTGGTCTGTCTCCCAATCCTTTGAAGATACCTAAATATAATTCTTTTGAATTCCTTATCAGAGAGTTCTAATGCTGCTTCTTCTTCAGGGATGTGTTCTGGGTCTGTATCCTGCTCCTTTGTTTCTACCACTTTATCTTGCTTCTTTGTGTGGAGTGTGATGGTCTGTTGTTTCTGAGACATTGTGGTGGTGTTATATTTAGATCTCTGTTAACTGTTTGTGGAGAACAGCTAAGGGTGAGTCAGGCTTTTCTTGGTGGTTGTTTATCATTGGCCCATTGGTGGAGAAGGAAGTGGTGGCTCTCACTCAGTAAGTGAAGCTGCAGGAGGTGTGAATGTAGTTGTGTCTTATGGGGACTGTTGCTGCCTTCCACTCAGTTAAGTAAAAATAACAATTGAATAACCATCAAAAAAGTAAAAGCACATAGACAAAGAAATACATTGTGTAATTACACAGGAAAAGTAACCAGAAAAAGAAAAAAGAGAGAAAGAAGGAAAAACAACAACAACAGCAACAACAACAAAACCCTGCAATATTTGGGTAGAGGGCAATAAGAGAAAAAATGTAGAGAAGGAGAATAATGAAGAAAAAAATGGGAAAAAGGCAAAAAGAAAAACAAGGAATGGGGTTAACCACAAGAAAGAAAAAAATTGCAACCAGGAACAAGGAAAAGAAAAAAAGCTGAAAACTAGACCCTGGGAGGGGAAGAATAAAGAATAAAAGTAAAAAGGCAAAAGTAATAATAATAGTAGTAGTTTTAAAACAGACAAAAACAAACTAAAAAACAGAAAAAAGAAAAAAAAAAAATCAAGGCAGGGCAGGACAGGGCACCCAGGCTCCGTTACAATACACAAACTGGGATGGAATTCCTGCCGGCCCAGAAAGTGGGTGGGAGTGAAGGATGGCTTCACCTCCGTTCACCAAGAGGGTGTGGGGTATAAGAATAACAAGGGGAATGTCACACCTTTCCAGTTGTCCAGGTTTGGAATGTCCTTGGGTTTCCCAGCAAGTGGGCCTGTTCTTAAGTCCCTGGAATCTGGGGGAACGCTGTCACTTTAAATATCCAAATGGTCAAGCCACTTGTAAACAATCAAAATGGCTGCTCCCTCCAGACAGACAGAAGTCCACAACTCAGCCTGCTTTCCTCTTCGCTGCTTCCCCTTTTATTTCCCATCCACCAGAGCAGTCCTCCATGCAGTCCCTGGCTAGCAGGGCCGAGTTTTAGGTTAATTCTTAGGTCCTACCACCACTTGGCAATACCCAAGCTGTCTGTGCTGTCAGGATCGCTGCCAGACCGCAGCTCTGTTTGTCACCTTTTTTTTTTTTTTTTTCCTTTCCTGATCATCTCAGGTATTAATGGCAATGTGGTATTGTGGACACATTGGTTGGTTTTAGCTCTGTATATCTCCTTTTTTGGTGTTCTCATGCAAATTCTTCAGCTAGTTGGAATTTAGTCCACTTGTGTGTCCTTTCCTTCAAGGCTCAGGGGTCCAGGATTATCTTCTGTATCTGTGTTTATTGCTTCCCCTTTTCTTTGTTGAAGAGGGTCTGTGCAGTCTTTCTGCCTGTTCTGCCATCTTACCGGAACTTTTTCCATCTCTGTATATTCTTGCTAGCTCTTTTGCACCACACACTGGTGCTGCTTATAGCTCCTGCCTGTTCCTTCCACCAAGCTTTCCCATATCTTCTCTTTGCTGGGCTGTCCTGTCAGACCCTTTCACAGACCCAGCCTGACAGGTAGCATTGCTCCCTTCCTTTGTATACCTCTGTCATATCTTCTTGAACTGATTTCATCTGCATGTGTTTAGCTTTGTTTCCCTCTATAGCACATTAGGCTTCATGAGGACAGGATCATATCTCATTTGTTTTGAGAAACTGGCACCTAGGAGTAAGTAAGTACATCTGTTGCAGATGTACGTGATGAACTGTCTGTCCCAGTTTGCCTGCAGTTGACACAGTTTGATTTGAAGCAAATGCTTACATGTATTCTCTTAAATAGAAATTCATCTGTTAACTATATGCATTCTTCCTGAAAGCTGATAGTAAGCTTTTTTTTTTTTTTTTTTTTTTTTTTTTTTTTTTAATTGTGATTTGGGTGAAGATTTATAGAGCAAATTAACTTTCCATATAGCAGTTTACATATACTTTGTCTCATGACATTGACCACAGTTTACCACAATGCAACAGCTCCCCTCCCACTTCCTCCCCATAGTTACCTCTTCCCAGTGTCTATCCCTCCATGGACTCCTGCCCCCTAAGCTGTCTCCCTGTGCATAAGCAGCCCTTCTTTTTCAATGATTGTTCTCTCCAAGGAGTGTATCTACCTCAGGTAAATGTTCTGATAGTAAGCTTTTAAGCTGGTATGGTTTTACTTCTGGAGGTCTCGTGGCTGAAGAAACCCCTCAGTCCTGGGCAGAATGGGACATATGGTCACCTAATGCATATGGCTCCTAAAGTAGCTTGAAAAGTTCTGTGTGATTCTAAGGGAGAAAAAAGTTAAAGGGGTACTATCTCAGTTCCCATGTTGTAAGTGAAAGGGTGCATTATTTAATGCACATTCATGAGATGTTTTTAATTGGAGTTTCACTTTGTCACCAAGTAGAGTGCAAATAATGAACCCACCAGGCAGCCTGTGGTTTTGTCCAGACTCAAGGAAATCAGTTGAGATTTGATAGCAGTGTGCTTTTCAGGGACCACTGTCATTCAAGGATGTGTTTGTGGATTTTACCTGGGAGGAATGGCGGCTCCTGGACCCTATTCAGAAGACCTTGTACAGGACTGTGATGTTGGAGAACTACAGCAATTTGGTGTTCCTTGGTAAGTTCCGCTTCTCCCAAGGAAGCCTGTACGTGACCAGCTGACTTTCCTTTGTTACTGATAATGGCGGGACTTCTGTAAGCACATGACTTTGGACGTAAATTCTAGAGGTCAGTTTTTCTTAGATCCCTTTTATCATCATAGTGTGCCAGTTAAGTGATCTTTACTTTGCCACAGTGCCAAAGTATTAGGTTCTTAATGCTTAGGTTCAAGTGGGTAGTTTTTAAAAACATGAATTTACTTCTCACAGTTTAGAAGGCTTTCTGTCTGTGGGCTTTGGGAAGAGGTCTCTTTCAGAATGTCCTCAGTTCCTGGGGATCTTCATGGGGAGTGGCAGCTCTCTTCCCCAGTTGAGCTTCCTTGTCCCTGTTTTTGCTCAGAAGTGATTAGGTTCAGGAAACACCTGTGCTGATAAGGGCCCATTAACATAACAAGCCCTGTTTCCAAATAGCATTACCTCAATAGGTAGAGGGGTTAGAATTCCAAAACACATTTTGCAGGGGTGGAAGTGGGGCTCAGTTCAGTCCATAACAAGCAGTTTCATTAATTAGCTTCTGAAACAGATTTTCCCCGTTCTTCAGTGTGCTTGAATCCTAAGCAGTTTGGTCCATATTGTGTGTGATTTTCATATTATAGGTTATCAGCATAGGAAGCCTGATGTCATCCTCAAGCTGGAACAAGGAGAAGAGCTGTGGATCAAGGCCCAGATCCCCAGTCAGAGCTGTCCAGGTGAGTTAGTGGGAACTGGTTGATGGGAACAGTTAGGTCGTACATCAAAAGAGGGGAAGAAGAAAAACCTTGCTTAAGCGCATAATGAAATCAGCCTTGCATTTTCTCAGGCCCTGCTCCCACTTTGATTCCGGCAGTCCCACATTGTAGGGTCTATTTTCACAGCATCTCCCTCCTGTCATATTTGGTATCAGTTAGGATTTGTAGTAAAAGCAACAGAAAATCATTCTAGCCGATTTAGGCAGAAACTTTCATTAAAATCCTATTGGGTGTTCTAAGTAATCATAAGGGAAGAGGAGGCAGGAATTGGGCTTGGAAACCAGATTTGGGCCATGAAGCTGCTGCCTGTGAACTTTAGACCTGTGGTTTGGTTCTGGGCACTGAAACCTGCAGCCTGCAAGCCTGCCTCAGGAGCTGTTGGTGCAATGTTTAATATCATCAGAAAGTTTCTCAGGGCCCCTGTTTCTTTGTGTCATTGATTCCCATTTCTAAGACTGAGGTAGATGTCTCTTCTAGAGGAGCCCACGCCAGCTGCCCAGGCTCTAGTTACCACAGGGCCTCACCTCTTGAGCCCTTCCTTCAAGCGCCCCTTGTCGGTGCTTCCCTCATTTATCAAGCTGATGGTTCTTTCTGTCTTTCTTAGCTTTCTGTCATCGTCTGAACACAGCATCTTCTTTTGTTACATCTGGGTCTTTGAATAGGATTTACTTTTCCGTTCTAAATGTAGTGTGTGCTTCCACCTCTTTTGTGAAGGTCCTTGCCTGGTCCAACTTTTACCAGTGTCCTAGTACTGAGAAGCCCTAGCCAGCGTAATGTAGCATCTTGTATTATAGTATCATGGGCCTGAGAATTATTTTCCCACATCAGGAATATCATGTGCAATTTATTCTCAAATGGCTTGTGCGTTCCTATTTATTTACTCGTTATGGACTTCTTTAATGCAGCATTTTTGGAGGGTGATGAATTGATGGTAAGGGACACTCACACACATGCCACACAGTAAGATTTGATTAATTTTTTTCTTCAAGTTGTCAAGAGCATGACAATTTTTAGGTGGTAATGTGGCCGCGTAAGGAAGGAGCTAATGAGTGACACATGTCATCATAGCTTTGCTAGTCCCAGGCTGCTTATAAGGCGCACAGCTGCCTGTGGCCAGGTGCATCCTGCTGGATTGAGAACGCTGAATCCTCATCACATCAGGGCTCTTTCATACTGCCAGGCTCACATCAGCTTTCGGGAAGAACCTGTACAGTTAATAAATGAATTTCTGTTTAAGAGAATACTTAGAAGCATTTGGCTCAAATGAAACTGTGTGTCAAAAGGCTGTATTATCAGACAGAGACACTTGACTTGAACAATGTCTGTTTTCAGCATTTCATAAAACCTTTCAAATCCTTGCAGATCATTCCTTGATTTCAATTTAATATGTTTTAAAGTGATACTGAGCTCCTAAGTGGCGCAAATGGTCTTCACTCGACTACTGAGCTAAAGATTGGCATTTTGAATCCACCTGGCAGTATCATAGAAGATAGGACACCGAATGTCGTCTCTAGACTTCAGTTCATTAGGGCCAGGGGAGAGCCAGGACAGGTGAGTCTGATACTCCACTTTAATGTGTTAGGGGAAAAGATTTGAAGGGAATAAGAATTACAAACTTAATTGGGCAGTCTCTTGAACTATAATTTGGGAGGGGAAAATGTAATTTACTGAAATATTTAGGTATTCACCATTTGAACATGAAGTATTTATTGTACAGTGCAAGTTTATAAAAGATTATGTGTCCAAAGAATGCTATGGACAGGAATGGTGAATTGTGAGTGAAATAAAGAAAAGTGGATGTTAAACTTACATCGAGCTGTTGATGAAGCGTTCTTTTCTTTTCTTTGGAATAGTAGGAACTCCGTGAAAGATATCAGGATTTCAGACAAAGGGCGTGGTAGGCAGTATGCTTATTCATTGCAAAATTGGTGGAAGTGCTCAGTATTGGAAAATAAGTAGTAAGGAAGACACATTGGCTGACTGGAACAGAAGTTGCTTGTTGCAGACCAGTAGAATATGGATATATATAAGTATATATGTATGTATAGGAGCTCTGGTAGCATAGTGCCTAAGGCACTTGACTGCTAACCAGAAGGTTGGTGGTTCAAATCCACCAGCCACTCCTCGATGGAAGGTTGGGCAATCTACTTCCGTACTGATACTGCCTTGGCAACCCAAGGAGGGGTTGCTATGAGTTGGGTCCAACTCAACGGCACATAACAACAACAACATATGTATGTATGTGTGTGTGTGTGTCTGTATATATATGTATGTGTGTGTGTGTGTGTGTGTGTGTGTGTATATATATATATATATACATATACATACATACACACATAATGTAGAAGCTCTGATGGCATAGTGCCTAAGGTATTTAACTGCTAACCAGAAGGCTGGTGGTTCAAACCCACCAGCCAATCTACTTCCCTAGAGATACTGTCTGGGTCAGTGGCAATGAGTTTGTTCTTTGTTTTGGTTTATGCATATAGGTACTTATATGTATATTGACGTAAGGGAGCTCTGGTGGTATAGTGGTTAATACATTTGGATGCTAATTAGATCGATTGTTGGAATCCACCAGCTGCTCCACAGGAGGAAGATGAGGCAGTCTACTTCTGTAAAGATTTGCTGCCTTGGAAGCCCAGTGGGGGTCGGAAATGACTCGATGGCAGTGGGTATATGTGTATATACTTACGTTGATTTAAGATCTTTTAATGTGTTTACTAGATTAATTACTCTCTTTTATATGTTCATAAAGAGGGCTTTTTTAGGTTTTTTGTTTTGACGTTTAATGATAGCATTGGTCATGGGTAGCAGGCAGTGTCAATAATTGGGTTTAATCAAGAATTGTAACATAAACAGAAAATAAATGTTTTGGTTATTGTTGTGTGCTGTGGAGTGAATTCTGTCTCATAGTGACCCTGTAGGACAGAGTAGAAGTTCCCTATACCTTGGCCTATGGGGCCCTTGGGTGGCCAGCTGGACACATCTCATCTGAGTGAGGGGTAAATGACTCCTCTGGAGCCAGCACCATGCCCCACAGTGCTCACATGGGAAATTCACAGGGTCCAGTACTGCTGCACGTCTCCTTGGCTGGGGCCCACTGCTCTGCCAAAGGCTGTTTTCAGGATGGAAGAAGTGATTTTCCACATTGGAGAAAGTGATTTACAGAATAGGGAAGGAATCCTATTTGAAGAAGGGCTGCTTTAGGACTCCAGGGTAGGCTGGTGAGAGTCTGCTGCTGGGAACCCTGCCAGCGGGCACCAAGAAGAAGACTTAACGTTAAATCTCCCTTATTTAGTGTTTAGACTGGAGATGAGCAAGCAAGGTATTAATCATTCAGAGGAGAATAAACTGCTTGGGAGACTTCACCGCCTGGGCTGATGAGGGTTAGGGAAGACTTCCCCACAAGGGCTTTCTGTCTGCAGCCCCAAGGTCATTTTGTAACCTCCCTGAGACAGACGTGCCCTCATCCTGCTCTAGGATGGTGCAACCAAGGTCTTCAAATTCTGTGAGTGGTGTGAGTGGTGGTGAGTTATGAGAGGTGGCAGCTGCACCCACACCCCCCGCAGATGCATTTCCCAGACCCAGTGGCAATCTTTATCTCCTGGACTCTGGGTAGGTCCCAAGTCTTTCCCGCTCCACCAGGAACTTGACCCAGGGCAGCAGGTGGACTCTAAAAGTCTTTTTTCAAAGGACAGTGAAAAAGATAGATTCCATTTAACTAAAGATTGGAGATCTGAACCACTCCTAACTGTTTTGCTTCTCTGCTTTGCCTCTATCTTCCCCCATGCTAAGAAGTTGGTTCCAAAGTTTAAGGGCGTGAGTGCACATGTGGGGGGGCGTGAGGCTCACAGGGATACCAGTTTGGTGGCCCAGGGGTCTCCCCTACATCACAGAGATATTAGCAGACCCCTGCTGGAATGTGAAACTGCTGGTGCTCTGCCAGCAGGGAGCAAGGGCATGGCTCCCCGTGGGTCTTGGGTTTAGAGGGAAATGTGATACGTTGTGAGGGGGTGACAGTCACAGCAGACTAAGTATCCAATAGCATGTCTAGCCATTAGCCGAGGGTTGTAGGCGGCTTAGGGCCAGTGTGAATATTAGCATGAGGGTGAGTGTGAGCCTCCCCAAGTGTCACCTGTTTGAAATGGTTTTAAAATCCCAAAGTCAGATTAATTATGTTTCAAAAGTTGCAAATGGTTGGAGTGAAACATGTGCATTCCCTTCCAAAAGGATTTGCTTGTTCACACATCCTAAAGAAAGGAGAGGCGGGTAAATCGGCTTCTTCTGAGGTCATTTTTCTGTTGGATGGATTTCTTTTTGATGGAGACCTTTCTGGCTATATCTACCCACTGCCATTGAGTCAGTTCCCTAGCGACCCTATTGGACAGAATAGAACTGTTTCATGGGGTTTCCAAGGTGGTAAATTGTCTCTCTCCTGTGGTTAGCAGCTGAGTGCTCAACCATAACACCACTAGAGCTCCTTTTCCTTACTATAAACCAAAAAACCAAACTCACTGCCATTGAGTCGATTTGACTCATAGTGACCCCTCCTTGGGTTTCTGAGGCAGTATCTGTACGGAAGTAGATTGCCCAGTCTTCCATCTGAGGAGTGGCTGGTAGCACAGTGCCTAGGGCATGTGAAACCTCCTTCCGAGGAGTGGCTGGTGGGTTTGAACCACCAACCTTCTGGTGAACAGTCAAGTGTAGGAGCATGTAAATCTAGTAACAGTTTCTCTCAAATCACTGTGAAAATCAAAAGCACCTATATTCAAGACATATGCCCACCCATGTTCACCGCAACACTGTTTACAATAGCCAAAAGATGGTGTTCTGATTACCTAGTGCTGCTTTGACAAGAATATACCACAAAGGGGATGGCTTTAACAAACAGGAGTTTAGTCTTACAACTTGGAGGCTTTAAGTCCAAGTTCAAAGTGCCAGGCTCTAGGAGCTATGTGAAAACCCCTCGACCTTGGGCTTCAGCTCTGCCTCCTGCTCCTGGCCCACTGAAGCTAGAGGCCTTTCTTCATTCAGGCTGCTACTGGCTGCTGAGGCTAGCAAGCAAGGTCTACAAATAAAAGGCACAGTCCCGATGTTACCAAACCACACGGCAGCCCATTCATTCAAGTCCATTGAAAATCCCAAGGTTGGCAGAGCATGTCAGGCTGCTGAACAACAACACGGCTACATGCAGGGTCCAAGTGTGCAATAGGCTAGAGACCATTCCCAAAGGTGTTTGTTATATACAGGCAGCAGACCACATACCCAAAGGCAGCTACTCAGCTGCTCGGAGAAGATTCTACCATGGAGTTGATTGCCAATCTCATCATGGGGAATACTACATCCACCTGCCCAATGACTCAACCAGGCCCAGCCAGGTTGGCACACAAACTTAACTACCACAGATTGAAACAACCTAGGTGTCCTTCAACTGAAGAATGGATAAGCAAACTATGGTACATACACACAACGGAATGCTTGTTGTTGTTGTTATATGCCATCGAGTTGGACCCAACTCATAGCGACCCCTCCTTGGGTTTCCAAGACAGTATCCCTACAGAAGTAGATTTCCCAACCTTCCTTCTGAGGACTGGCTGGTGGGTTTGAACTGCCAGCCCTCTGGTTAGCAGTCAAGTGCCTTAGGCACTACGCTACCAGAGCTCCTTAATGGAATACTGTGCAACCCTGAAGAATAACGTAGAGTCTGCAAAACACTGCATAATGTGGATGAACTTGGAGGACATTATGCTGAGTGAAGTGAATCAGTCACAGAAGGACAAATACTGTATTAGTCCATTATTGTAAAAAGTCAAGGAAAGGTTTATATATGGAGGAAAATTTTCTTTGTTGGTTACCAGGGGTGGGAGGGGAGGGGAGGGAACACTGTTAGTAGGTAGAGACAAGTATTGATTTGTGTGAAGAGAAAGGTGGTGTACCAAATGTGAGTGATCAGCATCGTGGCATTGAAGAAGAGGAAAGCATAGAGAGGTACATTGGAGGCACAGACAACAAAGATGAACCCTTTTGCACATACAGTACTGCATTGCCAGTGAAGACAAACAAAGCTATACAGGTGGATAGATGGGTAGGCAGGCTGAATTATTAGGTATGTCTTTGCAGGGGGGAGTGTACCCAAGACCATGTATAGGGTTGGCAGACAATGTTTCTACAAGTATATTTGTATGTTCTATAAGAACTCCTAGGTGTATAGTAGAGCTGACAAGGGACAAGATTATATTCTCTTCTTGGGCATACCCAGCTACCCAGAGGGAGCGAGTAGTTGAACCTGTGGGCTTGGGACTGTAGTTGCAGGGGACATCAAGCTCAACTGGCATAACATACTACACAAAACATTGTTCTACCTCCTACTTTGGTGAGTAGCGACTGGGATCTTAAAAAGCTTGCAAGTGGCCATCTAGATACAGCGATAGGTCTCTCCTCATCCAGAACAAAGAAGAATAAAGAAAAACAAAGATTCATGGAAACAGTCCTAGCGACTGGTACACCTTGCCATCCTCAGCCTATATGACTATGAGACCAGAAGAACGAGATGGTTCCCAGCTACCACTGTCAACCGCTCGGAGGGGGATTCAGGTAGGAGATCCTGGATAGAGTGGGAGAACAATGTAGAACAAAACTTAAAATCATTAAAAAAAAAAAAAAAAAAGCACCTGTATTCATTAATCAGCACATCCAGGGTAGATACTGCTGTAGTTAACAATTGATGTTTGGGGAAATAGAATTTGATAGTAGTGTATAGAATCAATAAGTGGGATCATATTTAAGAGATAGGAGGACTACTTGAGATTTTATCACAATAAAACTGCAATGAGGTATTAAGATCAATGAGGTATAAAAGATCTCCAAACCTGATTTATTCACTTAATATGCTTGTCTGTTCATAACTCTGATCATCATATTTTACTCTGGGGTATCTTGATCAATTCTACCCATTTGTTTCTATCTAACCTCCATATATTTGTTGTTGTGCCTTCGGACTCGGTCCTGTGTATTGTTGTCTCTCTACTGTGTCTGTTTTTTTTTTTTTTTTAAATTTATTTTCATGTTGAAACAGCAGTCTACCCACCTTGTTCCCTCCTTATGTTCCATGTTTCCCAGAGTCAACAGTTTCATCTCTTCGAGGTCTTTGTTGCGCTATTTACTTTCATGTTTCTAAATAGCCAGTTTAGGAGCTCTGGTAGCATAGTGGCTAAAAGCACTTGACTGCTAACCAGAAGGCTGGTGGTTCAAACCCACCAGCCACTCCTCGGAAGGAAGGTTGGGCAATCCTACTTC